AAAAATAATGGTTCCATTTAGTTCACTTTCTTTGAACACAATCTTGTTTTCGTTGATCTGCAAATTGTTTCTGCCTATATTCCTACATACGTTTTCACCCGTTGAGCACAGAAACTGAGCACTGTTTACATTTTTAAACCTTGGAAAAAGCATTTGATCGCATATAATATTGCATTTAAATCACAATCTAAGATGAGTTAGGAATTTATTCCCACTATTTATAAAAATGAATTTTAACATCAATAAAGCATATGATATGATATGGGGTGAAAGGATATATGATTTTTGCGATACGGGCTCTACAAGCAAATAACTTTAGTAATAGAAAAGCGTTTACCCTGATTATTTTATTTAGTAGAAAATAGACTGTCCCATGAGGCAATGCTAGAACCCAAACTTTCTATTGAAATTAATTAATACCGTCTCGCCCAATATTTTTTTCTCGAATAGGTATTCTGCCATATCCAATTTCTGATCATCTAGTATTTGTTTATATTGCCCGCAGAAATGACGTTATTAGAATTATTGCTCAGGTCGATATAGTAACATAAATGCCACATAAACTAGCACTAATACCCCTAAAACATGCCCTGCAAGGTGGTAATAATAGTAATTGATCCGAGAACTATCCACAAAAATATTCATCTTTTTGAATTAATCTTGAATTAAATCTTCAATAAATGAAAATCTGAACCACTTTAAGATATTCAAAAAATTCAGTGTGCCTTGTTTATAGTATTCGCATACCAGAGATGATCAAAATCGCTCCACAACTTTTCGAGTTATAGTAAAATACGTTAAAATGGCGGTTATGTTTAAAATGGCCGCCTTCTACCAAAAGTGTCATTAGACAGTGTGCCATGCTCATAGTATTCACATACCAAATATGAACAAAATCGCTCCACTACTTTTCGAGTCATAGTAAAATACGTTAAAATGGCGGCTATGTTTAAAATGGCCGCCTTCTACCAAAAGTGTCATTAGACAGTGTGCCATGCTCATAGTATTCACATACCAAATATGAACAAAATCACTACACTACTTTTCGAGTTACAGCAAAAATCGTAAAATAACAAGTAAATGCCACCATTTTTCAAGATGGCTGCCATGTGTTTCTTTAATATCTACATTTCTAGCTTTATTAATGTCCTATATAATTTTTTTTCATTTAAAAGATATTGCTATTACAGTTTTACATATTGCACCTAAATTACTGTAAGATCGGCACTAAAATGGTCGCTATTTTTAAATGAGCGGCCATTTTGAAAATCAGCTTTCGAGCAGAACCTCTACCCCCATAGGGTATATGTGTACAAAATATGAACAAAATCCGGCAAACGGTATTTGAGTTATTGCCTGAACGGACGTACAGACGAACAGACGGACGGACAGATGGATGGACAGAGGCCCGTTCCCTATATCCCTCCGAAGTTCGTTCAATGGGATAACTATTTAAAATTAAATTGTTAGGACATGATACTAAGCTTATAAAGTAAAAGTTTGATTAGTTACACCAATCATTGTGATTTTAGAGCCCATTGTTATCTCATTTTACGGTTTAAATTGTATAAATCTTCTTGCTGTCAACGTATTTATAATAGTCTACACTTATTTAATGCCTGTTTATAATGATACCGACATTACTGTAATATTGAAATCATATAAGTAATAAAGATCCCCAAGTGGAGGTCAATGTCCCCTCCCCCCATTTGTGACATGGTGTTATACGAATTAGGTTGAACACATCAAGACGAAACCTGTTTTCATGATTTATACACCTCAATGATGTAATTTAATCGTAACAATGTACTAGCTTTTCATCTAAGAACTATCCGGAAAAATATTTAATATTTGTAAAATAGACCCCTGCTGAAATCGTTCATAAATGAAGTTCTGTAACTTTATATGGTGCTCAAAAAAAATTCATAAATGGTCAATGCTATAATCCTAACTAAAAAAAGCAAATTAAAAACATTAGGCTGTAACAATAAGCTTTAAAAAAATTATCAAATGTTTGATGAGTTATACCCCCCACTGTGAACATGGATTCCATTTTGATCTAATTTTTCAGCTGAAATTTTTACATTATGCTCTTGATATATAATAATTCATGCTTTTTGTACTTATTTATTATCTATTCACAAGAAATCTTTTAAAACGATTATTTCTTTAAAAAATGGACCCCTGCTTAAATCTCAAATAAATGATAAACGGTAATGTTGTGTGATCCTCAACAAGCAATACCATATTCAGTGATATTAAATCTATCAATATAATCTATAAAAATGATTGGAACTTGAACAGGAGGTAATTTTCAAATATTTGTCAATTCCTTTATCACTAATGTGCCATGGTTCAATAGAGAACCTTTCCTATGGGCACAACTGCATGCATTTTCCAATATTAGACATATGACCATTTGCATTGAGATTCATTGCATTCATCTGTTCATTGCATTGAAACTCATGTTGATCCAAACTACTGTTCCGGTAGAGTAGACTGTTTCGTCAGGTGTAACAGTCTGACTGTAACAAACCTATTGTTTAGATACCCAGCTAATAATGCAGTATTTGGTATTTAAGATTGTTTTCTCGACGGTTAACCAAAATATATAGGGCCAAATGTTGGTCGATATTAGAGCAAGAAATTCAACAGCATAGTTTCAAATGACAACGATTTTGAGTGGCTTAATGGAAAATCCTTCCTGAGAGGAGGTCCCTTTGCAATGTAAGGCAATGATAACGTAAAAATTGGTATATCAGTCATTGTTATATTTTTAGACAGCAGTCGTTTTGAATTGAGTGCAGTGAATGCTCGAGTTGTGGTATTTTAACCAAAAGGCTACAGTAAAATGTAAAATAGATTAGTCAACTTGCATTTCATTTATTGCGCGCCCTAACAGATGGACGGATGGACAAACGGACGGACTTACCGATGCTGACTGGTGTCTATTAAAATCAGTCAGCCATTGACAAAGGTAAGGACGGTTTCTTTGTATTTTTACTTGAATTTCGTTCAGTGGGAGAACTAATAAGCCAACAATCAAACACTCAACAAATAGCCAAACACCAAGATATGTATTTAGGTAATAAATATACCCATCCCATACAAATCACCAACCGCCAGCCACCCATCCTAACGACAATCAACACTTTATGGGTATGCCTGTGGACATGTCTAGTTGCAAATTGAAAACTACAAATATTCATATCCCTAGCCCCCACCCTACCGACAATTAAGTAGGTCATCTCTGTGGCATTTTAGAACTACACCCACGTCACACACCCAATCGACATTCAATCCACCATTGGTATATCTGTATTGCTATTTAGTCCTAATTTCAAACTATAGATGTAAAACCCCACTCAATATGCCCTCGTACCCAACCGACAATCGGACCATCAGGAGGCTGTCTACTTCATGTCTACAGAATGAGCAATGAAGTAAAGAATTTGAGGTTAAAATGGTGCAAGTTGTGGTTAGAAGTTGCCAGCCACAGTTAAATAGAACAGCTACTGTTATGGAAGCTATGATAGTGCATTTTGGAAATATTAGAAGAGTGGCTGTAAATAACTTAATCCATTGAATTAGCAAAAATGAGGAAAAGTTCCAAAAAGTCGCAGCAGAGATTTGTCGGGCCACTATGATTACTGATCTCTTATTTTTTCAATATTCAATATATACTTTATCCAAATTTCACACACATCTATGGTACATATAAGGCATCAAACCCTGAAAGTATGATCAAAAGCTATGAGCATTTCATGACGACGCACAGATTTCTTGGACCAGAGGGTATATAGATTGTCTATGGTAAGTTAAGTACTAAATGTAATGGAAAACGTTGATGCGATATGTTCATCCATTGGATGTCTAAGCGACAAGCGCCAAAAATGTAGTTTTTGACCCGAAAAAAGGTTCTGATTGGACTGAAGATGAATTGTAAACGAGGTTTCGCGAGTTGCCCGGGTGTGACCGAGCAAAAGCCTAGATTCACGTGTCTTTTCTCGAAGAATCTCGATATAAAAACTGTCAGTCATCATATAACTCCACCTTTTTGCCCATTTATGGAGAATGCCACTCTGAGTTCACTGTTTTGTGTTGAATTGAGATTTTCCTCGATTTGTCCCCTCGATATCTCGGTATTCAATGGACGATTTGCACAATTCTTTCGTCAGTGTACATCTCGCGTCAGTATATATCTTATTAACCTATTGCTGCGTAGTTTAACATTTTGGTTTTGACAGAAATTCGATCAGAAAACTGAAATATTTTAGAATTTACCGAATCTCGAAACAATCCTCCCCAGAGATAGATCTAGGCTTGGTCAATTTGCGTGTTGAATTAACGACTAGCTCTGCTTTGTTTTGTACTAAAAATAATATGAATCGTATTTTGTAATAATAATCCAAGTCTTTCTGCCAAAAGAAGATATCTATTTTCCAAATTCAATTTCCTATGTGCATTTAGATATAACATTCACGAAATCTTTAACGTTCGATAAGTATCTCCAACAAAATACTATTTAGTGATTTTTCAACAATAGTGTTGCATTCCAAAAATATAGCGTTGTTTTGCGTTTGTCTAATATATAATAGGGCATATATAATATATATGCCTACTCTATAACAAGTCCATTATCTATAAGCCTACGCGGAATGCGACGACTTTGCAATTTCTCTACAAGACGACATGGATTCATATAACCGTCAAGCTATTGCCTGCAAGGTAAGCTGGTAATGCTCATCGACCAAATTGCATGTCTTTACAGCGATGTATACCAGAGAGCAAATGTTAACAATAAAGAATAGAGGAAATACAACTCTGGTGGGTGGTAGAAGAGTATGGTGTTGTCAACGTTATGTTAATCAAAGATATGCATTATTCTTTAGTTTGCACGCTGATTAGAGTTAATTAACTCAATCATGTCCTGTTGATATGGAAAGGCATTTGGACTGATTTCAAAAGCGAATATAGTAGAATTATATATTAGGATTAATATGGAAGCCTCGTTTGATCGGAGAATCTTGAATCAATTGGAGATTCCTCTCCAGAGACACGGTAAGAATCCCAATCTGCTGGACATTCCTCTAGGACCATTGGACGCTCCCAACCCTCCACTGGGACAACAAAGTAGGAAGAAATCTTGGCAGGATTTACCCAATCGTGCGCGCAGTTTCGAGGTACCGCGTATGACCCGAGCTCCTCTGGATTATTCTACCACAATCGACGATTCGAGACCTTCTCGGTCATTCGACGATGCTTTGATTACGCGAAACTCATTCTGTAAACAGAGAAGTTTTGAAAGTACTTCCAGGGGACTTGTCAACCGGGGTGACACATTAAGGGTGCTAACTCCGAGTCCAGATCCTCCTTCTCCCGGTAGGGATTCCCCCAAAATGCTCTCCCGAAGCCCAGCTGCTGTACGGAGAGACGCATTTAGACTCCAGTCACGTAGCCCCGAAATGTTAGCCTACAGCGATTCTCCGTTGTTGGGCCGAAGATCGCCAAGCCCCGCCAAGGACCTGTTTCTCTCGTCGGGTGGTCCATCTCCTGGCCATATACAAGTCAGTCCTAAAAGTAAACGTAAAGATTCAATAGGGGGACATTGTGCAGGGAGACTTACACCAAGTCCAACACAGTTGCGGAGATCATTCGGGAGCGCAAGTGATCCTAGCACCAGTACTTCCTTAAGCTTTGATGAAGAGTTTATGTTTTTGGATCTATCTGATAGTGATAGTGGTGCCCAATCATCCGCTATTACACCATACACAGTTTTGGTTCTGGGCTCGGAAGGCGTCGGTAAAACGGCCCTAATTGACCAGTTCATGACGTCAGAATTTCTTGGGGGCTTTGATACCGATGAGACCGATGGTAAGATTCAATGTGTTGATGTTTTCATTAAATAAAATTCAATCACATTTTCAAATATTTCCTTGAGAGACTATTTGTAGAATACGTTTAACTAAGAGATATTCTATGCATGATATTTTCACATTATTTATTATTTATTACAGAATCAAGGTGTACAATGGGTTCAAATTATTGGAACTTATTATCCGATAAGGATAGGTATCGATATGGAGAACTGAATTCAACAAAGTTTTTCTCTTAATCAATCATTAGAAACATTCTGTAAAAAACCATGGTATTTTATGTAATGTTGACTGATTGACAACAATTTAATGCGAAAATTATTTAGAAATATTTTATATAACTGTTTTTGTTAACATATTTTGTTTTTTTAGTGCAATTGTTTTTCCTTTCTACCAATTCTTGAGAATGAAATAAAATGTCTTTCCGAACCTTGTTGGAACAAAAAATTCCATGTATATTATACAACATGCTTTTTGACCTCTCAATATTAAAGTTATACAAAGGAATTTTTGGTTGATTTTAAAAAAGTATTCAAAAAATAAAACAAAATCCCCCCAAAATAGATAAAAAATCAAGAAAAAACTCTTATTTCATTAACAAGATACTTTTTTAAAATCAACCAAAATTTCCTTTTGATCCAATTACAATATTGAGAGACCTAAACATGTGTTCATGTCGTTTTGTCCCAATGCGGTTCGGAAAGATGTTTCATTTCACTCTGGAAACATGATACCAAGAACAAAACAAGTGTTTGATGTGTTTTTTAAAACAATATAGATGAAAGTATGTATATCTATATCAAATTATATTGTTAATTTCAAAAGATGGCCATTAAATTGACAATTTGTAAGATTTTCAGAAATTTTTGATGACTGGTTTAAGAGATACGTGTGTTCAAAAAGTTCGCCATATCGATACCCATTCTTTAAAGTTATAAAAGCAAATTTTGTGTTGTTTTTAGATCAAAGTAAATTTTGTAAGGAAGCATAGATAATCATAGAACAAAAGTATTGTTGTTTATAAACAAGTAATGGCATGTATGCCCTTTTCGGATTAAAGATGTATCTTTGGAGGACATGTAAATGGAGTATACATTTTATAATTCATAAATAGAGTGAATTTCAACGTGTTAGGGATTCAATTCAATTACATTGTTTTGTCATTCCTTCGCTGCTGAAAATATACACCGTATTCCTTGATGCAATCTACATCCGAAGTAGTTATGTTATGTTTGTACTTATATTTGTTATGTTATGTTTATGTTTGTTATGTTATGTTATGTTATGTTATGTTATGTTTTGTATTGTTATGTTATGTTTTAATATGTTATGTTATGTTATAACATGTTATGTTATGTTATAATATGTTGTTATAATATGTTATGTTATGTTATAATATGTTATGTTTTAATATGTTATGCAGATTTTCACTTTTTAACATTTGTCAAGTAAATGCTTGAAAGAATATAAGATATGGACAGTTTTGCTATCTTCCCTTTTCATTTTAATTTGATCGCGAAATTTTTCCAGGGTTATATGTTCCTCTTTTTGATATAAAGAATAAGATAATGGTCTCATCAGTATTCAGCGATACTTTTGTAGACACGAACCAGTCAATGTCCGTTTTAAATTTATCATTTGCAATAGATATGAGTTCCTCCTTTGATTCATTTGAGTATAAGATACTGGTGCCATCTTCAAACGTACAAACTTTAATTTATCAGAAGTAGAACTGAGATCATTTATATAAATACAAACGGGCCTAAGACAGACCATTGAGGTACTCCACATGTTATATTGCTCGGTTTTGCTGATGTTTTTTATTTTCTGTAATTTGTCTGTAATCTGTTAAGTAGCCAAGAATCTGTAATACCACGGATTCCATAGATCCGCATGGTTACAATGAACTATAACTGATGGCACTTCAGGGTAATCACTATATTAGAATATTTACAGTCAAAGTTAAAATGAGTGATCTCTCAGCCGAAACCACAATGAAATCAAACAAGTCAGACTACAAATCCCCGGGTACAAAACAATAAAAGGATTCTTGAAGAAACACACTTCCATTCCAAAACAGCTCAATTTTCATCTTGCGTAGGCAAACATTCATCATCATATACCAACGCCTAAAATGAATTGGCAATCGGAAAAAGCGTGAAAATCCCACGTTGTAAATAAGAGACGGAAACAATTGCAACAGGTGTGTTACACTAGCATAGGAATGCTAATAGACAACTGCATCATATGGAAATACTATGACTTAATATTAACGTGGGCACTGTTGTAAGGGATAATGGATTTTAATAGAAGGATTACCCAAGAGTGCCATCAGTCATAGTTCAAGAGCGATCGATACATTCGAATACTCACCCTGTCAACACCAATTTCATTTTTTGTCAATTTTATACAATTAAAATAAACGTTGTCAGATTAATGCCTTGGTCACATAGGCTCCGATTTTTACTACGGCGCCCGGCCGATGAGTATTTTGTTCAAAATCGGCCGGCGAGCCCGGGCATCGTACGGGCGCCGGGCGATGATCGCCACTCATCGGCCGATTTTTAGACATCGTACGGGCGCCGGCAGAGTTTTATCGCGGAGATAAAAGTTGCCGATGTCTTGGCGATTTTTTCTCAACCAAACTCATCGGTACCTACCCGGCCGTGTCCCGTCCGGTCATCGTACGATTATCTTACGGCGCCCGGTGGCTTCGCACGGATTTTGCGTGCTGATTTGTTTGATAAATCTTAATAATGATTACTTATAAAGTGATATAAAGGTTTTGAAAATAATGAGGTAAGGAATTATAGTTACTCCACACTGTCAGATATTTTTTATAAAACATAAATGGAACGATTAGGCTTACTGTAAAACAATGACACACATTTGAATGGCTGGGTGGGTGGGTTGATCTAGTCGTTCTTATATTGACATTAATCGTGTATGTCTGTCATACACATTGAATAGAGTGATACATTTTTATGCGTATATTCACTCATGCATATACCATTACAAATCATTTATTTAAAAAATCTTCTGAATGTTTTTGTGAGTACAGTATTTTCAAGGGTCACAATTTTAATACGAAAGTTCACCGTCTCAATTACAGTTAATATGCCAAAGGCTAAGGATAGAGGGGATAAGGCCAATGGGATATATATGAGGAGACAGGTGGAAAAAGACAATAACAATGCTAGTGAGCTGGTGGATGATGAAGATTTAGATGTGTCTAGAGAAGAGGGTATTCCACTTGAAATAGAAGAAAAAATTGCCAAGTTGAAGATAGGCCATATTTTATGACCAAACAAATTCTCCTTACGAGAACAGACAAAAGAAAGATGCAAAAATATGGAATTTTGCTAATAGCATCGGATGGACAGTTAGACATAGTATTTGTTTATATGAAAGATCTAAAAATGAATTAAGGTCAGGGCGCACTTTGATGAAAAGACCACGTGCAGTATGGCAAGTGATTTTAGACGGTCATATCTTTCACCATGAGTACTTTCTGGGCATAAATACAGTGTTTTTATTAAAACAATATGTTTTCTTTCAATTGAAGTACCCATGATAGAAAACATATCAATCAAACAATTTTAAAAATTATGAATAGGGACCCCATGTCAGCATTTTTTCTTAATATTGAACCTATTTACTCAAAAGAGGATCTTTTTCTGATTTTTATTGCATGAAAACATTATTATCCAGGAAGTCCTGTCTATCGAAGTATTTCGTCTTCAAATCTTGCATTCAAGCCATGTGGAACAGTCATACTGGGTCATACAAAAATTTAGTATAAATCTAGAGGCCTGTAGATCGACCGATGTCCTGGCGGGTGCCGTACGGCCATCGGCAGATAGCATTGCGATACCCGTGCGATGTCTTTCAGATTCAATTGATTGCGGGCGCCGTACGATGCCTGTACTAATGTGACCATACTCACGATTAGATCAAGACATCGGTGAAAAGTCACCGGCGCCCGGTCGATTTATAAATCGGCCGATGACTACTCATCGGCCGGCGCCCGGCGGCTATGTGACCTAGGCATAACGCAACAGATTCAGATGAAATAGGCCTGTCAACACTAAACAACCACTCTAAACATAAAACCACTTACACTTTATACGATCACCACAGACATATGCCGTCTGTACGCTATCACAATCCAATAAGCTGTCGATGATACAGAACCACTAGCGCTATCACAATCATTATGAACACATGCATGTAACAGCTACCAAACGACATCACACTCATTAAAAATAACACAATTATTAACAAAAGGTTCCATATAACTTGAATAAAAATAAATTCGGACTAATTTTCGTCTAAACATCTAAAATATGTTCAGTAAATGGAATTATTTCATCAAAATCAATAAAAATGTAAATACATTTTTGATTTGATTTAATATGTAGATTTCAGATATGATATCACTTTGACTGAAATGATTTATCTAATCTACATTAGAATACGGATTAATATTAATCAAAAACCTAGAAAATCTTTGTTATCAGGGGAATGGTATTAGATTGATGACTCCAATTGCATTGTTAGCCTGTCTAAGACCCACTCTGTTAAACGTTATTAAATTCCACGTCCTTTTGTCGCATTCTCTTTTGATGAGTTGATCAAGAGGAAATATAATGAGCTCACTTTAGTACGCAAATCCTCGTCGGCAAGCGATGTACAGAACACTTAGAATTATTAATGAGCAGACATTCCAGTCGTGCATACCATTAATGAACTAAATTTGATTTTTTATCATTCTAGCTTAAGGTGTACCCTATTATCTGCAAAAGGATTAGACAGACAGCGTTATCCCCGTTGGTATTAACATCTCGGCATTCAGAACGCTATTCAATTATCTCTCAACCAACAACTTGTAAGCTATTGCGATCTATAATCCTAATTGAGAAAGACCAGGCTTATGTTAAATATTCATCTAAAAATTAGTATCACAATAGCCGTAGCATAGGTAATAATAATTAGCCT